GGTGATCTGCCCACCTTGGCCTCCCAAAGTGCTGGGATTGCAGGCATAGGACACCATGCCTGGCTGATTATTACTTTCAATATCACCCCTACCAAGATAGCCCCCAAAAGAATAAGCAAAGGTTATGGAATGTTGATGAAATAGAGTTGCCATTTTTGCAAATCAGGGAAAATATATTTTGGCTCTATGCAGTTTCTTCTCTCAGTTTTATAATTACTTGTCCTCTTAACACATTGCTCATCTTTCCCCTGCTCCCTCAGACAAGTTCTTGCTCTGTCACCCAGGCTGGAGTGCAGTGGCGTGATTACAGCTCACTGCAGCCTTGACCTCCAGGGCTCATGTGATCATCCTGCCTCAGTCTCCGGATTAGCTGGGACTGCAGGTGCACACCATCATGGCAGTCTAATTTTTGTAAAGACGGAGTTTCGATATGCTGCCCAGGCTGGTCTCAAACTCCTGGGTTTAATTGATTCACCTCTCTCAGCCTCTCAAAGTGCTGAGATTACAAGCATGAGCCATTGTTCCTGACCTCATATTTTTAAGAGGTATAATTTTCTGTTTACATTTTTTCTTTGGGATAATCCAAAGCCAAATGCTGCTCATCTTTATACTGGTTAGAAGCAGGTTTTACAATATTGGTTCTCATTTGTTACACTATAGCTAATATTTATGAAGCTAATCTTATTATGTGCCAGACACTGCGGAAAAGCTTTAAGTGCATTACCCCATTTAATTCTCCCAGCAACCGTATGAGATACATACAATTGTATGTCCTTTTTACCAAGAAGAAAACTGGGACAGAGAGAGGCTAAGTGCCCCCACCAAGATCACAGAACTAGTAAAAGATGGAGGTAGAATTTAAACCTTGGCAGTCTGACCAAATCCTGTACCTTTTTCTTTTTTTTTTTTTGAGACAAAGTCTTGCTCTGTCACCCAGGCTGGAGTGCAGTGGCGTGATTGCGGCTCACTGCAACTTCTGCCTCCTGGGTTCACCTGATTCTCCTGCCTCAACCTCCCAAGTAGCTGGAACTACAGGCATGCACCACCATGCCTGGCTAATTTTTTTGTATTTCTAGTAGAGATGGGGTTTCATCATGTTGGTCAGGCTGGTCTTGAACTCCTGACCTCAAATGATCTGCCTACCTCAGCCTCCCAAAGTGCTGGGATTACAGATGTGAGCCATCACACCTGGCCAAATCCTGTACTCTTAAGGATTATACAATATGATAAGTTTTTCATACAGTTGTCTGCAGGTATTTTTAAAGGCTGACTAATAAATCCTACCTCTTTGTTACTCAGTACTGCTAATAGAAGCTTTGTATGGTTTCCAATGTTTTCAGATAACTTGGGCAAGCATTTTTGCTCAGGATGGTAAACTGAGACAAAGAAGCAACTTCATATCTAAATGAAGTTGGTTTTCCTGGCCAGGCATATATTCCTAAAGCCTATGAAAGATTCTGTAGGAAGATTTCTTATCAATAATCCAAACATTTTAAATGCTATTTTTATAATTTGTATTGCTTCTGCAATACAGGATCTTAAATTAAGATAATGATCATTATTTTTTGGAATTCATTACACTTCTGAAGAACAACTTTGGGTTTAATGACTCTTAAGGTCACAGCAGAAAATATCTTACTAGTTCCATGTCTTTCAGCTACTGGGTGCTAAAGGAAAAACTGCTAGAAGTTTTCACTGCTGCTTTGTTTAATATACAGAACTTATGGCCGGGCATGGTGACTCACTCCTATAATCCCAACGCTTTGGGAGGCCGAGGCAGGTGGATCACCTGAGATCAGGAGTTTGAGACCAGCCTGGCTAACATGGTGAAACACCGTCTCTACTAAAAATACAAAAATTAGCCGGGCATGGTGGCAGGTACCTGTAATCCCAGCTACTCAGTAGGCTGAGGCAGGAGAATTGCTTGGACTCAGGAGGTGGAGGTTGCAGTGAGCCAAGATTGCGCTATTGCACTCCAGCCTGGGTGACAAGAGTGAAACTCCATCTCAAAAAAATGTAAAAAAAAAAAAATGAACTTATGTGACTGGAAAGTTATCCAAATGAAGTACACAGACAATCTGTTATGGAGCCTGGACAGGTTGTCAAGAATATAAGCTCTGGAGTCAGAATTCCAACCCTCTACTTACTTTCTAAAAGATTTTAAACAAGCTACCCCCTTGCTTTTTCATCTGTTAACTAGAAGTGTTCTAATTTACGGTAATTATTTTGGTGTTCAAGTTAGACAACATCTAGTTTCTTAGAAACACTATACATGGTATTATTCATCTTTATCAACCCTATTATTTTTCTTCCACTACATAGAATTTGTCTTAGAAGTGGAAAAAAAAAATCACATTAAAGTGGAAGTAATTTGTCTGTGTTAGACATTCTGTTAATTGACCAAATGGAGTGTTCCTTTCACCAGTGCAATATCCTTTTGGGGTAAATGCTGTATATATATAATTGAGGAAAGGGGAATAGTAAAGAGGTCTCCAAGTAACTAATAGCAGTATTTACGTTTTAAGTACAAAATCTAGATAAGGTAGTCATTAACCCTAAGGAGCAACACAAAGTCAAATGGTATATGACTTTGTAATGCAGCACTTTGCCATCATGAGTAGAACTAAAAAATAAAGACAAATGTGTTAATGGTTCAACCGAAGTTAAACCTGGAAGTTCCTATCAGGGTATCTTATTTAGCTGAGATGGGAGGATTGCTTGAGCCTAGGAGTTCAAGCTAGGCAACACAGCAAGACCCCGTCT